GGGGTTCCCTGGCTGTTCCACCCCTCCGGGGTCGCACGGAATTGGGAAGGGAAAGGGACGCGCTGCCCCAGGACCCCGCACCAATCGCCTGGCCTGTCCCTGGCTTAGGCCAACGATGCCTGCAAGTGCAACGGCTGGAAGAACCCCAACCCGCCCACTGCCCCCCGCATGGACCTGCAGCAGCCCGTGACCAACCTGAGCGAGCTGTGCCGGAGCTGCGGACATGCTCTGGGTAAGGCCTGGCAGCGCCTCCCCCTGGCGCGGGGACCCAGGGCTGGGAGAGCGTCGGGCTCTGCTCTGGTGGGGCTGGCAGAACGGGCCGGGGCTGCGTTTAGTGCTGTGCATGTCTCCGCGGCTCCCGGGCGATGCACCCGCTGGGCGATGCCAGGGTGTCACCACCTAAGCCTGTCCGTCTTCTTCGCTGCTCCCCCGTCCAGCTGACCACGTGTCCCACCTGGAGAACGTCTCGGAAGAGGAGATCAACCGGCTGCTGGGGATGGTGGTGGACGTGGAAAATCTCTTTATGTCGGTCCACAAAGAGGAGGACACGGACACCAAGCAAGTGTACTTCTACCTGTTCAAGGTACGGTGAGGGAGCAGCGGCTTGGCTCTGCCTTCGAGCCGCAAGGCTCCTCCGTGTAGCCGTTAAGGCGTTACGATACGCAGCGAAGGAGTCCAGTTTCCAGCCTAAAATCTGGCACATCTCTGCCTGCCTCTGGTCTGGTCGCTGGTCCGGGTAGTTACTTTCCAGGGCACGTTTGAAGTCAGCTCTGGGGCGGGGATTCCACTTTGTTCCATGGGAGTCCCTCTTCGTTTCTGCCCCCTGCCCAGAAGCGTTCACAGTCCTTCTCCGTGATATGTCACCAGGCTGGCCTCAAGGCAGGCGTCCCCTCGGCCTCAGGGCTGCGCCTTTCTGGAGGGAGTGCTCGTTACTCCACCTTCGATAAATGGAGAGTTTGTTCCCTTCCTGGGGAAACAGTCTGCACGTGTACAACAGCACGTATTATCCACTGAGAATGCATCTGATTTGTGTAGGACCTAGAGTAACTATCCCGTTGCTTTGTATCCTGTCTGGCAAGGGATGGAACTCTGCATTCCCGACATCTTCATGGCTATGTGTTCTGGTGGGCTCAGAAGCCCCCAGTATCCCTCTTCTTGAGCGAGGAATGCTAGTTCCTCGTCATACGAGATTGAAAGAGCCACTCCTCTCCTAACCTGCGTCTTGCCTAAAATTCCTGGAGTCACAGCTGATCTCTGCTCCTTTATTGGTGCTGTGAACTGTTCACCAGGCCCAAGGTGCGGCTGGCGGGACGTGGGAAGGAGCAGCGGATGGATTACATGAGACGCGGGGGCGAGTCTGTGTGTGGTCTCCTTTAGGCCTGGGAATAACGCGCTCATGTAGGGATCGAAGGCCAGTGAGCTGCTGATTTATTACAGTGATTCTCAACCAGGGGTACGTACCCCAGGGGTACGCAGAGCTCTTCCGGGGGTCCATCAACTTACCTAGATATTTGCTGTGTTTTACAACAGCCTACACAAAAAACACTAGCGAAATCGGTACAAAGTAACACGTCATACAGTGACTCATTTATACTGCTCTAGATATTGTATACTAAAACGTAAGCACAATATTTATATTCCAGTTGCTTTATTTTATAATTATATGGTAAAATGAGAAAATCAGCCATTGGGCTGTAGTAGTGAACTGTGACGCTTTTGTGTTTTTATGTCTGATTTTGTAAGCGAGTAGTTGCAGTGGGGGAGGTCTAGGTTGGATATTAGGAAACACTATTTCACTAGGAGGGTGGTGAAGCACTGGACTGGGTTCCCTAGGGAGGTGGTGGAATCTCCTTCCTTAGAGGTTTTTAAGGTCAGGCTTGACAAAGCCCTGGCTGGGATGATTTAGTTGGGATTAGTCCTGCTTTGAGCAGGGGATTGGACTAGATACCTCCTGAGGTCCCTTCCAACCCTGAGATTCTATGATTCAATGAGCTGTAACTTGGGGTACACAAGCCTCCTGAAAGGGGTGCCATTGTCTGGAAAGGCTGAGCGCTGGTGATTTATTGTATGTCTGGCAACCCACCTCAGGCAGCCCCACTGCAAGACTGGCTTAAAAGCAGAAGCTTTGCTGGAAACCAGATGTTGTCCCTGCCACCCCCGTCCCGAGCTGAATCCCCTGGGAGATACACTTCCAGGGAAGGTGTAAATCAACACAGCCCATTAAAGGCACCAGCGTGGCATCATTTAAGCCAGCCGGGGATCTGGCCGGCTGCTCCTGGCCCAGCTTGTAATGGTCACAGCTTTCTGTGGCTGCTGTAAGCCTCGCCTCGCCCCAGTCTCTGGTGTGACACATCCCTCTTGTCTCCCCAGCTGCTGAGGAAATGCATCCTGCAGATGAGCCGTCCTGTTGTAGAAGGGTCCCTTGGCAGCCCCCCCTTCGAGAAGCCGAACATCGAGCAGGTAACGCCAGCGCTCTGTAGCAGCTGTCCATTGTCACGGTGACCCAAAGACTGGTACGCCCTCTGCTGTAACACGCAGCTGGCCCTGAGCTAACGTGTCTGCCTGGACGCCCCCAGCGGGGGGAGAGGTGCTGGTGTCTTCCAATGACCCTCTTTTAAGCCTGACCGTGTGGCTTTTAGCTTCCTGGTGTCTCTTCCCCCTGCCCGAATAATCCTTGTATAACTCGGAGACGTTCCCTGCAACTGGCTGACTTGTTATCCACCCAGGGTCTGACACGGACGCGTCACTGTACATCTGGGTGCCTCAGTAGCAAACCAAGCCGCGTGTTAGCGCTGGTCCAAGGAAATCCATCCCCGGGGGCCAGTGCTGGGCGCGTTTGTTTCTCGTGGAGGTGACTGGTCTCCCGCCCTCACCCTGGAAGTGGGAGATCTTCGTAAGTCGGAGGGCAGGGGCGGGGAGGGCTCTGGTGAAGCTTGAGGGACAGGTCAGGAATTGCCAGGCGGGGTCAGACCAGGCTCCGTCTTGTCCAGTGTCGCGTCTCCAGGCTTGGGCCAGTGCACCTCCGAGCTGCAGCACTTGAAGAGCCTCCTGCGCTCCCAGTATTGCGGTCTGGGCTCTGCCGCCGCCCCTCGGTCCCAGCCCTGGGTCTCGCCGGTTGACCAAACCGGTCAGTGATGATCTCGTAGTGTTGATAAATCACCTGGGAATACTCGTCCCGCTACACCCGATCCATAACTGAACGCGGGTCTCGGCTGCTCCATCCCACACCTCCTGCAACTCCTCAGCTGCGTTAACCTCGCCTCATGCAGCCCCCCCGCCCCGTGTTCATGCGCAGAGCCAGCCCTGCGTCGGCTGCTGTGTGACAAAGCCCCTGACGCTCCGCCGGCACCCTGCCCCCACAGGGAGTCTTCAACTTCGTCCAGTACAAATTCAGCCACCTGCCCCCCAAGGAGCGGCAGACCATGTACGAGCTCTCCAAGATGTTCCTGCTCTGCCTCAACTACTGGAAGCTGGAGACGCCCTCCCAGTTCCGGCAGCGCTCGCAGAACGACGACGTGGCCACCTACAAAGTCAACTACACCCGGTGAGCGCTGGGGAGAGGGGCCGGTGCAGACCCCGTCGACCGTTCGTTGCATGCTGTGCTAACGGGGCTTTAGCTTGTGCCCCGCCCCCAAGTCTGGGGGAGCTCTGACCATGGCTCCCCTCACTTCACATCCCCAGTGGGGGGGTCTGGTCTCGCCCTCCTCTCCTGAGCTGCCACGTGCTAGTCCTGATCTCCCTCACCACACTCCCTGCTGTATTCCCAGCGACGAACCCTGGAGATCCTGAGCCTGCCGCTCTTAAGCACAGCACCTGCTGTGTCCTCGGAGTGCTGCCAGCAGCTGGCTCTGCCCCCGGCGGCTCAGTATGGCGCACAGCTTGCACCTGGGCCGGCCCGGCGGGTGGGCTTGTGGGTACTCGTGATGGTTCAGTGCCATGAAGCCAGCGTGCCTTGCCCCGGCCGGCTTGGAGAGACGGCGTCTCGGTGCTCCACACTCCGCTGGGAAAGGTCCCCTCTCTCGACTACCCCAGCCGCTGCCTCTCTGCCCCCATTGACCCTCCATTCCCAACAAGATGCAGCTGCGGCGCTTTGCACCCCAGCCCGTGGCTGCGACCCTAGTCATAACGCCAGCCCCTTGGGGGCGCTGGTACCGGCGTCCAGGAGCGGGCAGGTCCCTGGGAGTGTGCCCCTTTCTCCCCCAGCTGGCTGTGTTACTGCCACGTGCCCCAGAGCTGCGACAGCCTCCCCCGCTACGAGACCACCCACGTCTTCGGGCGCAGCCTGCTCAAGTCCATTTTCACCGTCACCCGCCGGCAGCTGCTGGAGAAGTTCCGGGTGGAGAAGGACAAGCTGGTGCCGGAGAAGCGGACGCTCATCCTCACCCATTTCCCCAAGTAGGTGGGGCTGGCTCCCGGGGCGTGGGGCTGGCTCCCGGGGCGTGGGGC